TGTCAATTATACATTGGAGTTTTTTAAAAAAAAAAAAAAAAAAAAAGTAAAAATATGCATGGTATTATAATGTTATCCTAAAACTAAAATTAAAACAATGGGGAAAACCCTTAAGATTACACACACACACATCTTCACGACGCAGAATAATGCAAGTATTATTATTCTTTTTTTTGTAACTGTAATCACGATTAGAAATTTGATTAATTGTGCAGCCCTTAATGCATTTATGTTTTGGAGTCAGCATTGTTATTGCTCACTGAAACTATTCACAATAATTTTAGGTAACTGAAATAAAGCTGAAATAAAATAAAAAAATAAAAAATATATATATATATTAGATGCAAAACTTCAACAAACTTGGCAACTAACTGAAACCCCCCCCCGACAATAATAAGGCAGTAAATCAGTATATTAGAATGATTTCTGAAGATCATGTGACACTGAAGACTGGAGTAATGATGCTGAAAATACAGTTTGATCACAGAAATAAATAACATTTTAACATATATTACAAGAGAAAACCATTCTTTTAAATTGTAATAATATTTCACAATATTACTGTTTTTACTGTATTTTTAGTCAAATAAATGCAGCTTTGGTGAGCAGAAGAGACAAAAACATTAAATCATTCAATCAAAAACATAAAAACATCTTATTATTCCCAACTTTTGACTAATAGTGTAAACTAAAGCTAAATAGAAATACATATAATAAATTAAATAAATAAAAATGACAAAAGCACATAAAAATTAATAATAATAAAAGTATACTATATATACTATAAATAATACTAAAATAACACTGTTCTGAATGTGAATATCTACATTTGCAAATGACAATTTAACATCCGCATGGCATCAATGGCATTTATTTCTATTCCTGCTGATGTTTCATTAGCTGTGTTTGTACCTGCTTCTCCGGCGAGTCTCCTTCCAGCTTCCAGTCGTTTGATTTGAGATGATAAAGCTCGTCAAACTTGAGGCTGATGTCTTCTATTGAGAGCTGAAGAAGATCCCAAAACCCGGCCAGATCTTGAGCCGTGGGTCTCGGGTTTGCGTTCACATTCTGAACAGACAGAAAAATAAACAGCATTTCACACAAGTATTTCATCAGCTGTCCACAAGAGGGCGACACATCTCTGTAGCTCGTAAATGTGCTGCTCTTGCCATTTTAGCGGATTTGATCACTAATGCTGAACTTTAGTCAGAATACATGCTATAACAAAAACCGACCGAAATACAGACCTTTCAAAGAGCCTCATTCAAAATATTTTGAAGAATGTTGGTAACCAAAAAGCTGATGGTAGCCATTGACGTCAAGTGTATTTTTTATCCCATACTATAGATGTCAGAGGCTACCAGTTTGGTTTCCAACATTCTTCAAAATATCTTCTTTTATGCTCAAAATTCATGACAGCATTTTCCTTTTTGGATGAACTATCCCTGAATTTGTGTATATTTTGCATAAAATCATTCTTGCATAAATTGTTGCACTGAATTGAAGATAAGAGTAGTTTTATGAATAATATACACCCATTTATTCTGCTCAGTATGCTGTACACTTCTGTCTCAGTAAATGAAACACTGAAAATAAATCATTCTGGTAAGACACACTGAATCAGGGATTCTGCCAGTTTTATGGAGGTAAATTTAAGACTTTGCAATTAAATTTACAGACCCTTTTAAAACCAATTAAACTAAATTTAAGGAATAAATTAAAGGGAACACAATGTGTTAATATGGTCTCTAAATGTGAATGTCTAAGGAGAACACAATGAGTTGTATGAACAGCACTTCAAAGTTTAAAAATACAACTTCCAATCAATCTCTATTTCCTTTTTAATTCATTTTACAAAAAAAAAAAATAGCTTAAAAAGAATATGGAAATAAATTTTACTGTACCTTCTGATCTCACTGTACACACGTGATGTTCTTCCTCAGTATTTGTGTTTTCCAGCGCAAATGTCAAAAAATTATATTTAGATGTAAAAATGACAAAATATGAAGTCTTGTTTTCTGAGAAATGTATCAAAATGAAGTGAATTTAGGATTAACTCAACTCAAGACTTAAATCAACTTAATTCAAAAGGAAAACAGTTTTAATACCCCATGGACAGATATCTGTTCTCATCAATTTCCCAAAAAACAAGACAACAAGGCATCTCAAGTAAATGCTTGATTTAAGGCGTTTAGATATTTGTACTGGAAAACATAACAAAAATACTGATAAAGATATTCATGTGCAACATTTAATGCAGTGATTTGAATTTAAGACTTTCTGCTCCGATTTAAGACCTTTTAAGGCCTTAATTTGTGGAAGGGCAAAATAAGGCGTTTTAAGACCTGCAGAAACCCTGTTATGTTTCACTAAGTAAAAAAACAACACTGCTGGATTTGTGCCGAATGAAAGGTGCCATCTTTCTTCTGTCATTCGTGCTTGAACTGCTGTGATTGACCTACCAGGTTGTGTTCACACAGGCCTCTGAACTGCTGGAACTTCTGGGACATGAGGAGCTGAGCACAGCCCACCGCGCTACGGACCTTCCCCAAAACTACAGACAGAGAGACAGAGAGAGAGAGAGAGAGAGACAGCAGAGATCTATAAGCACTGGCAGAAAGACCTGAGGAAAACTACTGAACTAAACCAGGCGTATATAACAGACAAGCCGAGACTGTGAAGAACACATGTAATTAACCTAATTAATGAGGCACTTTGTTACATTCATTAAGAGAAATCAAAGTCTGTGTGCCACTTTAAAAGGTCTAACTAATGAACTCACAAAAACACTTAAAATCACCCACAGCAGTGTTGTTTCAGTCATATTTATATATACGATTATAGTCTTTGTGGTTACACTTTGCTTGAAGGGGTGTGCATAAGACAGACATGACACCTGTCATGAATATGAAGGTTTTTATGCATGTTTATGACAACTGTCATTAAGTGTCATTCGCTCAGTTATGCTATTTTTAATGCAAAGATAACATTGTTTGAGATAACCATAGCCCATAACAGACATCTCAGACAATGTCATCTTTGCATTAAAAATTGCATAACTGAGCGAATGACACTTAATGACAGTTGTCATAAACATGCATAAAAACCTTCATATTCATGACAGGTGTCATGTCATGATTATGAAGGTGTCATGTCAGTCTTATGCACACCCCTTCAAGTAAAGTGTTACCGTATTTGTTAATATTTTGAATTAGCCCTTATTTCTATATTTTCTATAGTCATTTTTTAGTCATTTTAATTTTAAATACTTCTATTTAAATTAATTTTTATTTCAATTTTAGAAATTATAGTACTTCAACTTAAACTTATATTTAAGTAACACTTCCAAATTTTCGTTTTTTGTTAACATCTTTTAAGTTTTTAATCTAATTTTTAGTATATTAATACATTAAATTTTCATTTTAATTTTAGTTTGTTTTATTCATTTTTATGTGCTTTTGTCATTTTTAAAAAAATTTTTTAAACACTTGTATTTAGCTTGATTATTTTTATTTAAGTTAGTAATTATAGTTCTTTAACTTCAATTTATTTTATTTTGTTTTTTAAAGAAACTTTTTAAAGATCTTCATCTAATATTTAGTATATTAAAATAGTATATGTACTATAATACTTAGTTTTCATTTTAATTTTAGTTATATATATATATATATATATATATATATATATA